ATGCTAAAGCTAGATTTGTTGGGAAGGGAAGAGGATCTTGTTCAGGGAAGTGCATGCAAGGTGTGCTTAAGTGCTTTCAAGGTCTTGGACCTCACAGGCCCTCTCTCTTACATTGCATTTGAGATCCTAAGGGCCAGAGAACCACAGAACCAGCCATGGCTCTGGGTTCCCTTTCATCAGGGCCATACAAGCTTCAGTCAAAGGAAGCTGGAGATCCTTTGAAAGCCATGGTTTTATGAAGCCTATCATGGATAAGTCATAGCAATGAGCAGACTAAAGGTAGGTGAAGTGGATGGGAAGTGCCAGCTACCATACATACTGTATGACCTACTGCAAACCCATAGTTTCAGTGTGTCCATTGTTGGTTCTTCTGTTGCAATGAGGAAGTTTGTTGAGGGGAAAAAAAGGCTGAGGAGGGGAGGGAGCACAGGACTGCTTGGCTTTGTTGTTCAAAGGAATGAGCAGATTAGGTCTGTTCATGGGTGGGGAAGCTGGGAGCGGAATCACTTCGATTTAATGGTAGAGTTGGTGTTAGTTTTAAAACAACCACAAAAGCAAACCCAAACCTTCACATTCACTTTTTCACTCCATGCCTTTAGGTTACATTGAATTTGAGGCTCTGTGAAGACATTCTTCTAGCTGTGGCTTTGGAACAGAGACCCTGAAGGGAACATTGGGAAGATTAAAGATTCCTTCAAGAGAATGAAGAAGAGCAGACAGCCAGGATTTCCCAGAGGTAAGAGCTGGTGCAGAGCCTTGGTGCTTTTGTAGCAGCTCTGAATCTGCCACTGATGATGGCCAAAGGGAATAAAAATGAACATCTGCCATCTGTGGCTTTTGACCAGAGAGGGGTGATCCGTCTTATTCCAGCAATGAGAGTCTGATTTAAAGCACTTTGTGCACTGCTTTTACTGACATTAGAAGGGCACAGATGGTAGGTAGTGGCTCTATTTTTAGGAGCTTGCTTGGGATTGTAAGCCTACAGTACAGTAATGGATAGGGAACCAGTCTCCCTTGAAGGAAATTAGTTGAGAGGCTTTTGTGGAAGCCAGAGTAAAGGGATGGCTCTAACAGTGCTGCAGTGAGTGGGGCTCTGATCCAGGCTCTGCTTCCACCACACACAAATGCCTCCAGTTCTTGGCCTTTCTCTGATCTGGTGGACATTGCCTGAATCCTAAACCACCCAAACTGTGAAATGCTAGGGGAAAGCAGTTTAGGGACCAACACCTTGAAATACCTCCCTCAAAAAGCAGTGGCCAAGTTGTGCAGATGTGTTGGGATATTTCTATGCTATTTCCCTGAGTAGGAGGATTTAAAGGAGCACTTTAAAACCAAAGCCAGTGTTAGTTTTAGGCACAACAGCTTAACTACCTCAGAAGTTTTATGCAGCCATTATAGAGCAGATCTTTATAAGGTCCACCCCTTTGTCTCACATTTAAGGACACACAGTCAGTCTGACTGCCTTAAATATCATCTCTATTTTACCTCCATTACCTTTTAGTCACAGGATATCACGGATTTTAGTGCCTTTAAATGGGCAAAATCCCTTTTCCTTGATGCAATTCTTCCTTCAACGGGCTTGGAGCAACCTGGTCTGGTGGAAGTCGCCCCTGCCTGTGGCAGGGGGTTGGAACTGGATGAGCATTAAGGTTCCTTCCAACACAGACCAGTCTTAGATTCTGTGAATTCCTTGTTTTTCCTTGCTTACATGTCTGTGGCTTTTACTTTCCCCATTAATCTGTCTTTAGATCAACCCAGGAGTTTCTCACCTTTACCCTTCCAGTTCTCTCCTGCATCCCACCAGGGAGGAGTGAGCAAGTGCCTGTGTGGGGCTCAGTTTCTGGGCAGGTTTAAACCATGGCAACTGTCAAGGCTTGAAGGAATGTCTCCATGCAAAGACCTGGCCTTAGTAGTCTTAATCAGACATCCTCCTATCCTCGTCTCCTCACTCCTCCTCACTGCAGAATAAAAAAGCCCTGAGAAAATCAATAGTTCATATGTGTATAGTTCAAAAGAATACAAATAATCACGTTACCAAGATTTACATTCATTCCTGATATAATCTTCCCCACTGGGGAAGTTTGTCTTAACCTCTACAACAGCCTGCAAATGCTTTGCCCAGTAGATTGATGTGCTCTGTCAGTTAGCTGGTCTTAGTCAGAGGATGACTTGGCTCTGCTCCCCTGAAGACAATAGAAACATATGGGATATTATGGGAATAAAATCTGAAACAAACCAGAGCCTATAAGACCAGCATGATGGCTAATTCTTCCCAAGATGCAAAGTTTAAAAACAATTAAGACAGAGGCAAAAACTGTTCTAGCAAACCCTTCTCCATGTGCAAATTTACTATTAGCAATTGCAAATTGGACAGTGAGTTGAAATGCTCCCCCGTGAAAAGGGGGAAAGCACAAAAGCTTGTGCCCCTCTCAAATCTTGTTTGTCTCTGTGGTACTTACAGAGCCCTCATTAATGAGGTATTTAAGCATGTTACAACCTCATTGCAGCCCATGAGAACAGCATTCATTCTGCAGCATAAATTGAAGTACAGGAGCTATGTTAACAGTTAACTTGGCTCAGCTGTCCTGGGAACAGCAGCCTGCAGCATCCCACAACTCAAATCTGCATATCCTTCTTGCTGTTATGGACAGGCTGCATTGCAAATCTCATCTGCTGCAGTGGAAGGTGACAAGATCCTTTTAAGATCTTTGGGTTACTTTGTCTCCCCAGGTTCAGTCATTAGGTGACTCTTTACAAAGCAGGAACGTGGGGGACAGGCACAGCCCCAGTGGCCCATCTGTCTTGGGTTCATAGCCTGATCCACCCAGGGTGAGCATCCAGATCCTCCATGGAGTTAAGAGCTGGGGCCATCTGCAAGTCCGGCGTCCGGCTACGCCTCAGGGGTAATTCTTCACTTTACAGCAGATGCAACTCAGATGCAAGTTCAGCTTGTTCAAGGATAGGCAGAAGGTCTATGGCCCTCCAGTATAATGGCAATGCTCAAGTGAGTCCAGAGGAGGTCATGGAGATGCTCCGAGGGCTGGAGCAGCTCTGCTCTGGAGCCAGGCTGGGCTGGTGCAGCTCGGGGAAGGTTCCTTAACAGAAGACCTTAGAGCAGCTCCAGTGCCTAAAGGGGCTGCAGGAAACCTGGAGAGGGGCTTGGGACAAGGGTCTGTAGGGACAGGACAAGGGGAATGGCTTGAACTTGCCAGAGGGGAGACTGAGATGAGCTCTTAGGCAGAAGCTCTTCCCTGTGAGGGTGCTGAGGTGCTGGCACAGGGTGCCCAGAGAAGCTGTGGCTGCCCCATCCCTGGCAGTGTTCAAGGCCCCAGTGGACACAGGGGCTGGGAGCAAGCTGCTCCAGTGGAAGGTGTCCCTGCCCGTGGCAGGGGCTGGAACTGGATGAGCTTTAAGGTCACTTCCAGCACAAACCAGTCTGTGATTCTGTGATTGCATGAAATCCAGCTGCAAGTCCTCAAAAGCCCAGGGGAGCTGGCTATGGCTGAGGTCCTGGGCTCTTTCTGCCAAATGGGTGGCTCTTTACACCTTGCAAAAGTCTCTGCCTTGGACTGTGGTGCAGATCAAGCGCAATTCAGAGAGGTAACATTGAGGACACAGCCCCCAGGAAGAAGGAGCAGATTTCCCAAAGTGATGTTGAAACCTTACCTCAGAGCTGAAGTAGCCATTGGTAAACTCAGGAAGAGGATTAGACATTGTGCTCCTGATTACATGCACTGGTAAGGTGGTAAGGATGACCTAGGAGGGCCTTTTTCAACCCTATATTCCTGTAGCAGTCAATCATCGCTTGAGAACAAATCTTAGATCACCATTGAATTGGGGCTGATTTCCACCCTGTTTGTGAATGCTCCTTGTTTCCCTTGTGGCTGAATACTTTGCAGATGAATCAGTGTAGAGGAAAATTAAGTCCTTTGGCTTTTTGACAGACAAAGGTGTTTGAAAGTCATGGCTCAAAGCTACTTGGTAAATAAGATACCCAAATACAGTGCTTTGTTTCATCCCTGTTAGTTGAACTGTTATGGGGGTTTGAAGAAAGCCCCAAAACGAGGCAAAGGTAGGAGAGTAATACATGAAAATATTGGCGAATTCACATGGAAGTCAGGAAGTTTCCTATTTACCCCACAGTGCTTCTCTGGACTGCTTTAAAAGCCAGGAATTAAAGACCATCTTCCAGTGTTCACCATTTCCCATATCTGGAATATATTTAGCAATAAATTGACCATGAATTTTCAGTTCTCAACTTTCATCAGGAGTTTTGGCCGTGAGATTTTCTGCTCAGGCTGTGAAGGGTAAGAAAGTTTGTTCAATGAGGAAGTTGTTTCACTATGGACCAGTGACATTAGGCAAAGGCTTCCTTCCAGGAGCAGCTAAACTCAGCGTGTATCTGCCATGCCATGTATCTGAGCATCAAACTTATTTGCTGTCACTATGACTTTAAACATGTTGTTTAATCAGTCTGTGCCTCAGTTTCCCCTTCTGTGCAGAGAAAATACATGTTCTCACACCTTTGGGTATGATTCGGAGAAAACTCCAGGAACTCCTTTGTCTCAGGTAGTTCACTAATCCATATAGACAAAACCCACCAGCTAAAAAGAAATGTTAAAGGTGCCTTATTCTGTTTTGTTGTTATGGTTTGGGTTTATTTTAATTGATTTTATTATTATTTGCCTTCCTGTGGTACCTGTAAATCACAGTTGTGGGTAACTTCGAGCAGCCCAAACATGCAGACCCTCTGCCCTGCTCAGGGGAGCTGCAGGGAGCATGTGGGACAGGAGGCAGATGGGGCAGCACGCTATAACCAGTTTGACCATCTTCACGGTCACTGTTGCTGCCTTCCAGCATCCCATGAATATCCACTCATTCTGGCTCATTTTGTTCATTTGATAGTGTTTCTGCTTGTCTGTTTTAAACATCCAGCTCTTGTCCTGCTCATTCACAATGAGAGCACTCGGAAAACATCCCTGAGCTGGAAGAAAAAGAAACAGCCTGCTCAGAAGGAAAACACAGGCTGGATATGGAAACACTGGAATGCTGCAGATGCAGACCGAAGGAAAATGCTTATTAAAAAGCAGGGGAGAGCTTCCAATATGGAGAGCACTGGAACCTGTTGCTGGTAAGATACCCTGCACTGGCAGGGAGGCAACGGGAGCTTTTTGATGTCTTGTCACCTTAAACAGGCACAGTCTAAAACTCACCTAAATGACAAAGCAGCCTTGGGCTATGAAATGAAGCAAGTCCAAAGAATGCTGTGAGGAGAGTAAAAGTGGAGAGTCCTTGGATCTATTTATTGCTCTAGAATATGTGCTGCTGGGAATATGCTTATGAAGAAAGTAAAATAAATTACTAGCAGACTAGAAATCCATCACACACAGTAATTCTTGGGTGTGATAATTCCTTCTCTCAGGAGGTTTACAATTCAGAACCTGTTTCGAAGTCGGTTCCTCATTGGCATCAGAAATCTTCTTTGCATTTTTCCCGTGAAGACCAGTTGACAAATGTACAAGTTGCCATGGGACTAGGAAAGCTTATTTCTATGTTATCCAGATGTATGAAGATCCCCCTTCTCCTGCCTCCAACTTTGACACTTTTTTCTGAGCCTTTTGTTGATACCTGGAAGGGAAAGAAGAGAAAGGGAGGGATCCCTGGGACTCAAGCAACCCTTGCTGGCTAATTGGATGTAGTTTCTTTGCAGGTTACGTTATCCCATGTGGGGCCAGTCCTGCTCACCTCTGCAGCCTGGCCTCTCTCATCACTTTGCAGTGCCATAAGACTCAGCAGCCTCATGCAGACATGGTTTGGGGGACTGGGGTCAGGCTGTGCAATGCACTTTGCCTAGGGCTGTTCTTCTGTCTACCTTGTATGCAGGCAGAAATGTGTTCTGCCTGGGAGCTCTCAATGTTTCTCCATAACTATTTTTACACCCCTTTTATGGCTCCAGGTAGCATGGAGCAAGAGGATGTAAAATGACCTTACTGTAATTGAGAATTAAGCCTTATAGATCACAAGAAATCTGTTAGCAAACATCAATGTGGTAATTAGAGGTGCTTAAGTGTTTGTGGATATGGATAATGATGTTTCCGTAAAAAGATCAATTTTTCCATGGAAAAAAAATCATTTTGTATGAAATCAATGCATATACTTTTCTCTTTCATCAAGAATATTTAAACAAAACATGTCATTCCAGTCTAGTGGATCCAGATCAAACTATCTCGGAGCATTAAGCCAAATCAAAACATGTCATTTCCAGTTAATTCAACGTTTCTTTGTGTTTACCAGAGCTGGTTCAGTGCCCTGCAGGAGCCTTGCAGTGTTGTGTGCCATCCTCCTGCTGCCCAGGGAGCGTGGTGCATCATCTGCCTCCCCGGGCTGGGTCTGGCCAGGCAGGAGCCTTCCCTCTGAGGCTGTGCTCTGCAGGAGAGCTGGGAGATGATGCTGGCTGAAGGCCAGGCAGCAGAGGTAAGCGAGCTGCTTGGCTGCAGCACCCGTTCAACAAGGCAAAGCAAAACCTCTTGATTTATGTATGTAGAAATGTTTCTAAACAAAACTCATTGAGGTCATGGGGTTTTCTGATGGATGGGGCTCCAGTTTGCAATGTTCTCTAACAACACTTACCCATGACTCATACTTGATTTGCTTTTTCTTTAACACATCTCCCACTGTGCTACACCTAGCTGTTTTCTGGTCTGCACCAGCTCTGGCCAGACCAGGAGAGACCACTTACAAACCCTGCTTTGCAAATCCAGAATCATTTTAAGATTCAGCCATATCTGAATTCCTTTTTACTCTTCATCTAATTTGCAAAGCTTCACAGATAACTGTTGTACCTGGAGGCTTGCACAGACACCCAGCACCATTCTATTTGCACCCTAATAACAGATGTCTAAAAGACTCCGAATAAACAGTCTCTGCATCCTATAGACTGATAGAGTAAGATCTACCTCTAAGCTACCTCCTTTAAGTGAGTGAAATCCTCTGGATCTCCATGAATTTACATAAATATAAAAACTCAGGCATCACAGTGCATGAATCTCATTAAGCAAAGGCTATTTCTGCACATATCATTTGTGAACACTGGTTGTGTTCAAGTGAAATGTGAAATGGGGATTCACTTTAATCCCGACTTTGCCCCTAGTGAGGAGCAAAGTTCATAGGGCTGCCCACAGATTCTGGTTTTATTCCCCAAGCTGCGGTATTAAAGCCATGACAGATTGGGATAGCTGACAACCACTGAGTTTGCCTGAGTAGATGAGGAATGCTGACTCTCCCTCCCAGGCCCACTGGGTACCAAATGTGATTAAAGGCAAGTCGAGAAGGACTGTGTGCTATTAATTCCATAGAGGAGTTCTCCTGTGTTATTCATTACATGTATACAGCTTATTCTAGGAGGAGGGAAAATGGAGAAGCACCTTTGGTTGTATTGTAACATCTGTGAATACAGCTGGCTCTTTTTCTCTGTGTCCCACTTATTATGTGCAATTTGTACATTTTCTTCTCCATCCTTAGATAAAAAACCCAACAAAACCCAAGCAAAACCCGAGCAAAACAGCTCTAAAGAGAAGAAACACGCAATGCTTGTTATTAGGAGGACAAAACTCCCACTCCTCAGTACAGACCAAGCCTTGGCTGTAATATCTGCTATCATCTGTCAGTCTTTGCATAATCAGGTAATTTGATGTAATTCCTCCACTTTCAGTCAAGTCTGGTGAGCAGACGGCAGATCTCAAGCCTGTAGGTTTTGTCTAATGGTGCTGCCTGATACCAGTCCTAAAGCCGGCTGCTGGTGCCATCGCTGTGTTCAGGGCAGAGATGAGCTCTGCTTATGCTGCTGCAGCGTGGGCTTGGGAAAGGGGAGAACCAGGGCTGGGTCATCAGCTTGGCAGCCTGCCTGGATGGAAGCAGGATTAAACACCTTCCTTTGTGTTAATGACTGGAAGCATCTCTTGCTGTGTGACCACAGAGAGGTGATGGGTATGCTGAGACGAGGCAGCAGGGGGTTCGCAGGGAAGTGGGATTTGGCCATGAGATGCTGCTGCTGCACCTTCCTGTGCCCAGCTGGAGCAGCAGCACTGCTGGGATGTCAGCATTGTGCTCTGAGCAGGGCATTAAACACAGAGCCACTCTGCTTGCCACCAGAAGTCAGTTAATGACAGCAGTTTGGACAGAAGCTTGACAGTGTCTCCAGCACTGAATAAATACTTTGCAGAACAGTTGCTGTGTTTCAGAGCCATGATGCTGCCATCAGCATCTCAGCTGATGAGAAGGAGCAAATACATGGGGGTGAAGGAGCACAGATGTCAGGGGTTTGTATGAGCTGTGCTCTGTTTTGATTCGTAAGTTTGGCCAAGAATGTGATGCCCTGTGTCTTACTTCAGTTGTCTAAAGAGTAGCAACAGTCAGCTTCCATGCTGAAAAAGATGAAAGTTAAACCATAAATAGCCATGAACTGCTTAGATGAAAAGTAGTGAGGGAATTTGAAATGTTTGTTACTTGGCAAGATTGGAGCATCCGTTTGCAGACAGCTGCTCCAAAATAACATTGTCCTTTTGAGAAATGGAAAGCATTGAGTGCACTGCCTGTGTGCAGAGAGGATGGCAGACCAGCTTCTCCTGGGATGTTTGTCTCCACCAGCTTTCTTTGGGAAGCACAGCCTGGCACATCTGCTGCTCCAGGGCTGGGCTTTAATAGCTGCATTTCAAAACACATGACATCTCTGTCCAGCGTTGCCTGGCTTGCTGCTGCCTGTGCCCTCTCATTTGCTTCCAGCTTCTCCCCTTTGCTTGACTGGGGTGCCTGGCCCACAGGCAGCTTTGACAGGCAGCAGCACACTTGTGTGTGTGTGTGCACTGCTGAGGGTTATAGGGCTTTGAGCAATGTCAAGTTAGATGGGCTTGCCATTAAGGATTGCTCTATTAAGTGATAACTGAAGAGGTATAATCTTCCCATGCCTTCTGCCAGAGGAGGGCTGGATGCATTTGCTTGGCATTAACACTACATTGATTTCCAATTCTGAGTTGCTCAGCACCCTAGGAAACGTGGAGAGTTACCTTGAAGAAAGCAAACCTGGTGTATCAGTGTTGCACAATCAGCAGTGACATCTCAGGAGAGCTGCACCATGCTGGAGGTTAAGGCAGCACAGCATGTGCCTCCTGTGTTCCTCCTCCTATTTGCTTCAGGATTTCTCTTGCTAACGCTGTGGCAGCTGGGGAAACACGGCCGCTGCCAGCACACTGCTGCTTCTCAGGAGCAGGACAGAGGGTCCAGGGGCTGGGGATGTCTGAGCATTGCAGGGCACAAGGGTCAGTGAGGGTTCTCCTAGGGCTGCAGTGAGTCTCACTGCTGTGCCTGAGGCAGGCTGCTTGTTGCTCCCATAGAGCTGTGCTATGAGGCACCATGCGCCTGTCACAAATTGTAGATTTCTGTTCAATTAGAAGGACTGAAAAGGTCTCCTTGAGGAACTCATACCTGCTACACAGGTGGTTGTTTTGGAGTGACTAGAGCCTTGTAAGCAAAAAGGCACAGATACATGGATATATAGATGCACATGCATTTGTGTACTGGGGTTCTTGTGTGCTGTCATGCTGTTTGTACAGACACTTCCCAGACTGGATCAAGGCAGAAGGTGAGCTGTTTTCTGCACACATGGCCACTAAGCCTGTGAGCTTTGCAGGCAAAGCTTCACTAGGCTGTTGGAAACATTATCCACTAACATGGAGAGATGCATTTGTTTGGTGGGAAAAGTGACAGAAACGAGAAGGGAGACAGGCACGTTTCTGTGCTGCTTTTGTTGCATGTGCTCGTGTTTTGACAGATGGTCCTTCTGCTCCCTAGTGCCCATGTCGGCTGCTCTGACACGTGTGGTTGGAGGACTGGCAATGACCAGAGGGCTCCACTAACACCTTGCTTCCTTCTCTCATCTCCAGCCATGAAGATGAGAGATTAATTCTCAGCTGTGATAGTCATTGTCTTCTTGTGCAGGTTCATCAGGTGCAACACAGACTCAGGCTTGTCTGAACCTTGATGATAAGCTCTCCTTGTTAAAAGCCATTGTATTTGCTACTAGCTGAGTGTAATTCTGACTGCCTACTGCAGTTCTCCTTTGCATGTAATTGAATTCATATTCATCATAAAGCAATGAAAAATAAATTGTGTGTGTGTTTTCTTTCCTCCTCATAAAGCAAGGAATGCTGCTGGCTCTGCCTTCTCTGTAATCTTCCCCTTTGCAACGTATGGTAATAGAATTCATGGGAACAGAACAGCCAAAATAGATTGTGTGGTTTTGACCCACCTAGCAGAAAGCAAGCTTCATTTCACTGCCAAGGACGAATTGATTAATTCAGTTGGCTTCAAAGGAAAGCTAAAGTGTGAGTTTAAGATGCCTCAATACTAAAGAACAGTGCTGGCTCCGTGGCAGACTCACTATGGTGCTGTGGCAGAGGACCTGCACCTTCAGGTTGTGGTGGGGTTGCCAAAATATGTCCCTAATCAGTTGGTTTGAGTCCAAGATCTTAAAGACTCAGTGTGTTTCCATGCAAGGTTTCCAACTTGAAGCCTCTGTAACTCGTGCAAAGCATCCAAATTCAACAGAATCTGCTAGTCCTGTGTGTCAGCTGAAGGACTCAACAGAATCTGCTAGTCCTGCGTGTCAGCTGAAGGATTCCATTGTGCCATGGTTATTTGCTGTCCTCATGGCAATGACACGAGCTTGGGGCTTGGGGATCATGATTGAGGGCATAGGGCACTGCTGTATGAAGTGGTCATTCCCTTACACCTCATTCCTGCCATGAATGGTGACTTCCATTGCATTGGTCTACTGTAGGACTTCAGATGTCCTCCTCTGAAGCAGATGTCAAGCCACTGGTGCCCTCTACATTCCTTTTAAAACCCCTTTGTCTGGACTTCTCACAAACAGCAGATAGTTGGTGGGGAGCTGGCCGTTGCCTCCTCCCCATATGTGCTGACCTTTGTCTTTTGTTCTCCTGTCTTTGATAGGATCCAGAAACCAGGAGCTAATGGTTCCTGTGAGCAGAGCTGCTACTGCATGGTGGAGGCCTGTCAGAAATGCTCTGACAAGAAAAAGACACATTTCCTGCAGCCCCTGGCTTGCTCCCAGCTGTGGGATAGCTGCTCCAGAGACCAGACCAGACAGTCCTAATGCATCATCAAATTAGTGAGCTTTGTTCGACAAAGGGTCCAAATGTCTTTCCAGTTAATTATTAATTTCATTATGGTGAAATCATCAAGTACAGTTCAATACTGAAAGATGTTACTGCTGCAGTTTGTGAACATTAGCAAAAGAAGTAAAGAGGAACTCACTGGTAATGAGTCCTAGGAGGTGTGCGAGTGAGCAGCAGGAGCTGTGAGGCTCCTGCTCCTCAGCCTGTCCTTTGTCCACTGCCTCCTCACAGCACTTGTGCTGGGAAGTGTGTAGGAAGAGGGTGCCAAGCAAGGCAGGCATATGAGTAGCACCATGCTTGTGCTGCCCTGCATAGGATGTAATTTCCATCCTAAGTCAGTGCTGGCTGCATGGTGGAAGTTCCAAATCCTTCCTTAACCTCACCCATGTTGGCTGTCCTCCCTTGTCTGTTGCAGAGAAATTGCCTTAAAGTCATAAAAAGGTGTAAAGCAGGGTTTTAGCCTGCAGGTTCCAGGGAAGAACTCTCTGCCATGGCAGAAATCTGTACCCATGACTCAGGAGAGGAAGATACTCCCCTCCAGTCCACCCAGATGATGGTGCTTGACCATACACTGGGATGAGGAGGGTTAACACATGACTGTGATGCAAGACAGTACAAGCAGCACCCTCCTCTAGGGACCAGGTCACTTCTGTGCTGGGCAGTTTGCTCTCGTGGCCTTGTCATAACTGAGGGAAGAGCTGATGCTCTGATGATATAATTACAGTCAGCAATTGTTAAAATAATGCATCTGTTTCTGCCCTATGAGGGAAGTTAAAAATTAAAACCTGCAAAAGGGAAATTTGATGCATGATGCATTAACTCTACTGGGCATTTGACAGTCATCTCTAAATTAGAAATCTATTTTGATGGCTGCTCCTTGGAGTATCATACTATGCGTAAATACTCTTTCTGGTTTCACTCTTACAGTTTTGGTATTTCCTATAGCTCAGGAAACGTTTGCCACTGGAGATGGGAGTTGTCATGCAAGATCTGAAAAGTAGGTTCCTTAGGTCAGGACTTCTTCCAGGCTCATAGAGAGGGTTCAGATGTCACCAGGACTAACCCAGAGGAGTGCTTTAAATCAAGTCTGTATGTGATATGAGCGTACGATCCCATGGGGAGCATCTTGTAATTTTGTCAATAACCCTCTTTTCTCCCGACAATTGAGCACTTCCAACACTGTTAAGAGCCAGAGAGTGACTAAGAAGAAAACCCAAGGTGAGTGAGATGGATAAAAGAAGCAGGAACCCAAAGGCCCAGCACCTCCAGAGCATCTCAGGTGAGGGAATTACCTCAAAGTCCTGTTTGGACTTTGAAGGTCTGATGTTCAGGCCATACAGACTGAGCACCTGGATTTTCCCTTGAAACCACCAGATGGGGTGAGGAAAAGAATGGAAAAATAGCCAAAGTCCTGCTTCCATCCTAACCACACAGGCAGGAGCTCACCTGGCTCCACAGCAGCAGGTGACAGTAGCAGCCATCCTCCCTTTGAACTACATCAGGAAGAAAACTAGTACATATTATCAGATGCTTATGCTGATTGCATCCATGATCTGCCCGGTCAGCCTCTGAATGCCACTTCCCCTTGCCCGAGTCATTTAATCACCACTGCCAATCAGCACTATTGAAGGGAGCAACAATACATTTCAGAGCTCAATCACCTTTGTAATTGTCTCACTGTCGGCACTTGTGTCTCTCTGGAGGGCAGAATTAGTGACAGATGAGATGGAGGCTGTTTTTTCAAGTGAAATGTTTACTCCTATGTGTGTGTGTCTCCTGAGCACACACATGACTATATATATGTATATATGTATGCTCTGCTTCTAATGATAGAGTCAGTGTTGGGAGCAGCAGGCAGGCAAACACAGATCCATGCATTTAAACAGAATCTGCAGTTTCTTAAATGCTCAGTCAGCAGGGAAATATGCTTAAGAACAAGAATGTTGCCAGGCTTACAGAAACACTACTCAGTGTTTAAATGCACTCAGTGCAGAGGGCTCACACGGGGATGAGTCCACGGTAGTCCCTGTGCTGGAAGGTTTTCCTGGTGCTGAATTTCCTCACTGTCATCAAGTTGTGCAGGCTGCTCATTTTTGTCTTCTTGAAAGAGCAGCGACTGGAGCCTCTGAGAACCTGCTCAGCTTTGCAGGGACAGTCAGCCGTGGGACAGACTATTCCAGCCCATGTATGTGCAAAAACTTCTCTGAAGTCTTTCATTTCCCTGTAGGAACTTTCCATCTCCAAAGGTGGGTATTTTCCTGAAGAAACCTCTTCAGCTGAAAATTTTCCAGCCCTGAATAGCTATCTACTCATTCTTTTGCAGCTTCCTGCCTGCTTTCTCTCTACTTAATCCCTCCTGACATGCAAAAGCCAGAGATAAACCTTCTTAGTCTCCATGATCTGAAGTGGTCTGTCTAGCACCCATCACAGGTCCTGCCTCCAGTGCTGGGGAAAGCGCAAGGAGCAATATGCCACTCACCAAGTCTGAGACATGCACACAGGCATCATCCATCCAGTCCTGCAGCACTTGTGCTAAATAGCATTGCTTGGATCATTAACTTCTGACCTGCAACGTCATGCAAGGCTGATGGTATGTAACACTCTGTTGCAATTCATCACCCAACAATCTAGATACTAATTATAATCTGCCTCATGTATGCCACTAGCCTATAATTTTAATCCCGAACATTTGTGTGTGTAAATGAGGCAATGCTTTTATGTCTGACATCCTGGTGTAAAACCTGTGATTTGTAGCATTCTGGAAATACAAAATCAAATAAGAGGGAATAAAAATAACAGCAAAATTTTGTGTTTGAATTTGACATATAAAAGTATTATGATGTCTTTAAAGTTTACAAGGAAAACAACTGAATGGGAATGTGTCTACATCTGTGTATTTCTGGTTTTATACACCTGTCTAAAAGTAACTTTCAAGGTCCAGGCTTTCTTTCCCAGTGCTCAACAAAGCAAATCCTGATACCCACTGACCCAGAGGGAATGCTGTGAGATGGATCAAATCAGAGTCGTCCAAATGACCATGACTTATCAAGATGGAGTGTAAGTACAATGCGTTGCATGCAGAGCTGCTTCCTGCTGGCCAGATGCTTTTCCTGGAGGCTCTCAGCAAAACCTTTACTTTCCCTGTTGATGCCTTCTGGGCTGACCCACATCCTGTGCTGGGACTCAGAGGGATGTGGGGTCCAGTCCTGACCCAAGTGGTGGTTTTATGTGCTGCACACATAATTTTCAGGGTACAGATGCAGCTTCTGCTCTGTTATTGCCACCTCTAACAATGCCATTCCCACAACAGATATAACAGGGCCTGATGGCTATGCAACTGTGGGACATATGGGCTGGGGAAAAGTGAAGAAGTGCAAGCTGTAGGGAAATGTGGTCTTATTAATCTGTACTAAATCAGGAAAACGCCCCAAAGGGAGGAAGATCATCGGGAGGAATCCGGGCACTCTGGGCACCTTTCCAACAAGGAACAGAAGAGCATCTGGGAGGGGGGAGTGTGGTTGGAGCCAGATGCCAGCACAGGAGAGGGAGACAGGATTAGCAGCACCAGTGAGTGCAAGGGCAAATATGTGGCCAAGTAAACCGTATCCTAAAATTTCTTGTAGCACAACACATAAGCCACAGGGTCTCGAAAGTTTTAGGAATGGCATTTGGAAGAGATTGGTCCCAGGAGTGCTGCTGGTGCCTTGCAGACTGACCTGGTATGAGCAACCCTGCAAACTCACTGCCCCTCAGCTAGGGCTTGAGCTCCCCAAGGGCCCCAGTGCCAGCAGAGCTGCTAATGCAACACACAACACACATCAACCCTTAGGTGATCAAGACTGATGGACCAAGCCTTCAGGCTTTGCAGAGGGGAATGAGGGGCTTGAAGTGTGTTCTCTGATGACTTCCATAGGTTTGGGGGGGGAAATAGTTTGTAATGGACAACCCACCAGTTGGGTGGGCATGGGA